AAAAGTCTTTGACCACGATCATGTTTCAGGAGCGTACCGAGGAGCAAGTTGCAACGGTTGTAATTTAAATTTACAATTACCAAAATTTATACCAATTGAAATTCACAACCTTAGATATGACTCAATGATATTTTTAAAATGGATTCTTGAATTGAGTGAAAACTATTCAGACATTAATATAATTCCAAACTCTAAAGAAAACTACATCACATTCTCAAAGAAGGTAATTATTGATAAATATGAACAACGCTATAACTATTCTCGATGTAAGAAATGCAATACAAAACCAATATACAAAATTATCGAAAAATGTGATACATGTGGAAATAAAATGACTATCAAACGGAAAGGGGAAATTCAAAATGTAAAAATGGAATTCAAATTTATAGACACATTTAGATTTATAAGTACAAGTCTTGACAAAGCAGTGAACAATTTAGCTGATGTCAATAATTGTTATTGTGCTAAATGTAATTCTAAACAAGAAATAACAAATGCTAAATTTCTACCCATTAATTAAAATAATGTTTTAAAATTAATCGCCAACTGTAAAAAATGTGATAATAAGGTAAGCAAACCAGTTGAATACACTAAATTCAAAAACAATAGAAAAGAATTTAAAAAGGAGGACCTCTATATGGTTTTAAGAAAAGGTGTTTATCCATACGAGTGGGTTGATAATTACCAAAAATTCTATGATGAACTTCCATTAAATAAACCAGACTGGTATTCAACTTTAAATGATAAACATATAAAGGATGCAGACCTTAACTTTGCTAAAGAAGTTTATAATCATTTTGAATGTAAAAATTTTGGTGATTATCATGATTTATATTTAAAGTTAGATACGGTTTTATTAAAAGATGTGTTTGACAACTTTAGAGAAATGTTATAAGAATTATAAATTAGATCCTGTTTACTATATTTCAGCTCCCAATTTAGCAGATTCGGCATCATTAAAAGAAACAGGTCAAATATTAGAATTATTAACAGATCAAAAATTATACGAAACATGAACGTGGAATCAGAGGTGGAATATCAATGATTCCAAAAGGACATGCTATAGCAAATAATTGCTATTTCTATGATGAAAAACAGGGTAAGACAATACAACTAAGTAAAGAAAAAGTTGAGGAAAAAGGAATATATAATAGTAAAAAACATATTAGTTATATTATGTATTTAGACGCAAATAATTTATATGGAAATGCGTTATCACAACCATTACCAATCGGAAAATTTGTTGGATATAATGAGAGAGAAGATGAAATAAAAACTGATCCAGAACTCAAAAGTTTAAAAATGAAACCTAGCGACTATACTTCAGAAAAGATTTTAAAGTTAAAAGATAATGATACATATGGATATATGGATTTATTGTAGATTTAGAGGTTCCCAAAGAACTACATGATAAATTTAAAGACTATCCATTACTTCCAGAAGATTACGTACCTGATTATGATGAGTTATCAACATATCAAAAAGAAATGATTGATAATAATATTGGAACGAAACCTAAAAATACAAAATTAATAAATACTCTAAAATTAAAGAAAGATTATGTTATCGATTTCAGAATGTTAAAAGAATGTTTAAGACAAGGAATCATTTAAACGAAGTTAAAAATTATATTAAATTTGAAGAGATGGCGTGGCTTAAACCCTACATAGATAAAAATACAGAATTAAGAAAAGAAGCTCAAAATGATTTTGAAAAAGATTTCTACAAACTAATGAACAATGCAGTGTATGGGAAACAAATGGAGAACGTAAGATCCAGGTGTAATGTGAAATTAATAAGAACACTACCTACTTTCGATAAACATAAAGAATACGAAACCAGAACAATAATTGATGAAGACAACGTTCTTTTATATCGACGAAAAACTAAAATAAAACTTAATAAACCAGTCTATGGTGGTTTTGTTGTATTAGAACTATCAAAATTATTAATTAATAAATTTTATTACAACTACTTAAAAACTAAATACAATAATAAAATTAAGTTGTTAGGAACGGACACAGATTCTTTAATTATTTATGTTAAAACAGATGATGTTTATAAAGAAAATATAAAATATTTTGATACATCAGATTATTTAATAGATTGGATGCCTCAAAAAAATAAGAAAGTTCCAGGCTTATTTAAAGATGAATACTTAGGAATTCCAATAAGAGAATGGGTTGGTTTAAGGTCGAAAATGTAAGCATTTAGAAATGATATAAAAGAAAAAAAGATATGTAAAGGTTGCAATATTCCTTTGACCCGTTAGGCTACAATTTGCAATATTATTTGTTACCTTTTTGATAAATGTTAATTTTAAAACACTTATAGAGATTTTTACTAGCTCAGTGAAATTTAATATCAAACGTTACTTACCTTTAAAAATTAAAAAAAAAAATAAATGAGCACATCCTTTTCTCTGTCGTGAATTCGGCTTTTCAAATAGACAATTTTAAGGGTAGTAATCTTTCTAGGAAATGTTGGGCACCAATAATTCTCTTTTTTATTTTTAAAAGCTAGTGAGAATTATAAATTCTAGCTTTATCAATAAAAAGAAGTTAATAAAAATTATACAGAATTTAGTGAATGAAAGAGAATTTTTTGTGACCATTAAAAAATAAGATTCAACATATATACTTATAAAAATCAACGATTTTATTGAAAAAATAAACCTTTTCGAAAACAAATTATTCACAGTTATCAGATACCATTAAAATTGTGATTCGTACATAAATAATTCTAGTCACTAGTAATTACCAATTGTTTTATTGCTAGTCACTTGTAGATAACCATACGTAGTTTCTGTCCCTCAGAAACCAACGCCATTGTCTGTTAATCTTCCTTCTATGAAGCTTTGAATTGTAGCTGTTGCCTTTCCAAATCAAACAACTTTTCACAAGAGATCTCTGCTCCTCGGGAACCAACGTTCAGATTACAGCGGTAGAATGGTTTTAACGTTCGGCTTATGACATTATGGATAATGGATTATGGCTTATGGCTGATTCCATTCGTTTGCTAGACAAAAATAGATTTTGTTTTTCACGTGGTTCTGTACGATACATAAATTTGAAATATCTACTTTTAAAAAAAAAAAAAATGAACCAATCAGATAATAAAAACTAGTGACTATACATATTGTGCCGTTCTAGCAACCAGAATGAATCATAAAAATATATTTAACTTAACTATTAAAAAACTAATAATTAACAAAAGGTTAGAATAATATTTCTACTGAGATATTTAATAAAGACATTATATACTTTTTGTGCTTACCACTTTATCAGCCCAAATGCACCACTGATTCAATTGAAAGGTAATAATGAAATGAAATTTACAAATCTGATTTGAGATCGTTTGGTTAGTGGTACTTCCACTTCAAGAAATTTCCCTTTCTTTAGAATATTGTGTGTTGGCGATAATTAAATTATACCGGATGGCACACATTTAAAATAACATTTTATAATTCGACTTTTAAAATGTTACAAGGTATAAAAAAATGTAATGTCGAGAAAATGAAATTTGACATGTATAAGAATTGCTTGTTAAATACTATAACAACACAGGAAATAATCTATGGAATTGTTTCAAAGGATCTCAATTTATATACAGTTGAACAGAAGAAAACAGCCTTATCACCATATGATGACAAACGATACTTAATTGATAAAATCAATACATTACCATATGGATATTATAACTTAGATAATTGTAGTTCTTCTTCATAAATACCTTCTTCAATATCATTAACTTTGTAATAATTAACATTAGATTTTAATATCTTAATAATCGTAAATATTTCTGTTGTCCAATTAGTTTTTAATTTATTTCGAAATTGATCTACGTAAGATGAGAGTCTAACTCGATCACCTATTTCAAATTTATATTTCAAAGGAGTAATTTTATAATTATAAACAGTTGTTAACAACTGAGTTTCATTTTTCTTATTAACCTCAATTGGTTTCATTTTAATTGTTCTATGATATGTATTATTATAAGTCTTAACAATATTTGATAGCACCGAAACCCATCTAAGATTTTTATATAAAATCGGTTTTAATTTATCTCCTAAAGTTCTATTAAATCTTTCAATTATGGAAGCCTTATATTCAGTGCCTGTACTATATATTTTAATATTGTATTTATTTAAAACACTTTTAAGATCCTTATTATAGAACTCCTTACCTTTATCAACATGTAACAATTTTGGTCTCCTCTCATTAAATATATTTTCAAAAGCGTTAGCAACCTCAATCCCAATTTTTGTTTTTAAAGGTACACACCCAAACATACTTTGAAAATGTATCAATCACGTTTAAAATATATTTATATCCATCATTAGCCCTTAATAATTTTTTATAATGATTATCAACTGGTTCATGTTTTGTTCTCAAACTATATGAATGATCTTCTAATTTTCCTTTAGGTCTATAAAAAGCATATAAATCAGCCTGCCAAGTATCATCAATTCCTTTTTGAATAAATTTCCTAGTGACAAAATTTTTTCTAGCTGGTTTAAATAACTCTTCAATTTCAATATCTTCTGGCGACTTGGAAATATTATTTTTAACAGATTCACAAATCTTACAAGTCGATATTCTTCTCCAACGTTTATCCTTTTTATTAAATTTAGGAAGACCAATGCTTTTAGTTTGTTTTTTACACTTTCTACAATAATCCATTTAATTATAATTTTATTTTTAGAAGGCGAAGGGCTAATAACAATATAAAGATTTTTTATCTAAAAATTTATGATATGAAATTGATAATTTACAAAAACAGAAAAATGTTTACAGCTATAACAAAATTGACTACCTTCCTTTTATATTATTTATTTTTTATAAAGGATGTTTTATTTTTATTACAAATAGAGCATTTTGATGTTAACAGTTTTTTTATTGTTTTTAGTTATAATGAATTGCGGATTTATATTATCCGTCTTACTTTTACATTTCACACAATATGACTTCATTTATAAGTAGAAAAAAATTGATAGAAATCTATATATTCTCTCGAATATTGTTGTTTTGAGTTTTAACAAACACTTTCTTGTAATGAGTTAACATATCATATGCAATGGCATATTTTTCCTTGTCCCAATCTAAATCTAATAATTCCTCAGGATATCTTTTATTATTAACTTCAAACCAAATATTTTTTACTTTACAATGATCAAAATCACTACAATTTTGATCTTGATTATAGTTTGAATCTTTGTTTGTTTGAAAAGCAACAAAACCAAATAAAGGGTTGTGTACATTTCTGTAGATGTTTGTAATATCTAAATTAAGAGTCTTTCCACTAATATTCTTATTCGGAATACATTGCCAAGATCTAAAGCTGAACAAATATTCATTTTGTTGTGATAATTCCTTTAAGTCATTAATTAGTTGAAGTTTTGACATATCATCATATGTTATGATTGGTACTCGAATAAGAAATTCTTCAATGATTATTTTTGCTCTTGGATCAGCTGCTTCCTTATGAATAGCAAAATGATCATCATTTCTAGTAAAAATTAACTCAAAACCACCTTTAAATATTGGATTTTTAACATCTTTAAAGAATCCTAATCCAAAATTAGACAGGTTACCAACCACCGAAAAAGAATGAACGTTCGCTTTGTAATTTGATTCAAATCCTGAAATAATTGTTGGGCCGTTTCTATCTATAGAGAAAGATACAATTCCTTTAATTGTACTAGTAACTCCAACACATTCAATTTGGTCTATTACTTTACTATGTTTCCTAACTTCTATTTCAGAAAATAGAAAAGCAGGAAAATTGTCAATAAGATGTACAGTATTATTTTGGTTTAAGTCATTATTATTATCTTCCCTAACCACCTTTCCGGATATGTAATATTGAAATTGAGATCCTAAAAAATTATCTCCCACATCAATTTTAAAAACAGTTTTTTTATTAACCGTGTTTAAGTTTAACGTTGAAGTTGGTTGAAAATTTTGATATTCGTTTTTAATAATGCTTGATGAATACTTCTCGAAGATTTGTTCCATTTATTAGGAAAAAAAATTCTGTAACAGTGTTTAAAAAAATTAAACATAAGTGTCCACATATGGGTGGTTCATTAAAATTTTGATATCTATCATCATTATAAAAAAGATTATCCTTTCCTAAGTAATTTACTAACTCAATCGGTGGATTAACATCTCCAAAAGAATCGAAATAAAACTTGAAATTGTCTTTTTTGAACCAAGCAACCCAATGAGATCCATTTTGATTAGAATTATTTAGGTTTAATATTCCACATTCATTTTTATTTGGTTTTAATGGTCATTCATTTTTCATAAAACAACCTCGAAAATGTATAATATGTTTTGAATATAATAATATATCATAATTGCTTAACGGTATTATTTTTTGTTTTTTTAAACCTTTTCCTTCTATAGTTTTATTATGTCTTTGCTGTTCCTCTAACTCTTTATCTTTAGCTTTCTTATTGATAACGGTATTAGCTATAGCACTTCCTGTTCCAATTAATGATCCTAGAGCATCAATGCCTGCCAATAGCAACGGTAAAAACCCACCAGATTTTATGTGGTCATATTTTAGTTCTAATCTAATTCCTGTACCATTATTTTTAGCCTTTTTTAATTTATTAATTAGATAAAATAAATATCCATCAATAAAAAACACATAAAATAAGATAAAAAAACTGAAACTGTATATAATTAATATTTATAGATGACTTAGTTTCTAGATCAATTTACTTCCATCAATCCGGACGTGATTGCAATGGAACGCATGATTTTATACTTCCAACTAGATACAAAATTGTTTTAGCGCGCGATTAAACCTTGAAAATTTTCACCGTTACACTTCGAACTCATCATGACAGTGTGCACTCAAACAGTGCATATGCACTGAATAATTATCGCGTTGTTTTATTATTAATTTTGTTAGTAAATGGATTCATACTTAGTCAGTGCGCATACACTCAATTATCGCGTTGCGTTCATTAATATATTTCGTTAATTAAATAATAATAATAATAATGGATGAGTACCTAGAGAAACGTTTATTTGTTTACAGAAAAAGCTTTAATTATTATTCGCAACTAAGTGTTTTATTATTGATATTAAAATTATGTTTTAGTGTTTCTGGAATAAGTGGCTATTTATATTTACCATTATGTTTTATATCTTTGTTCTCTGGTATAACAGAGATATTTGAGCGACCTGTTAGACAAAATGAGAGATTAACTGAATACAGGGTGTGCTATAAATTTTATAAACAAATGCTAGATCTTAATAAAGCTCATAAATTAACCAATCAAGAATTATATTTGAGAGAAAAAGAATTTATTGAAAATATTCAGTTCTTTCCCAGAGAAAAATATTTAAATCAAGCTGAAATTAATGGATACAGTTATATTTAATTTGTTGTATTTTTTAATCTTCTTTCTAATTCAGCTAGTTGTCTTTTCGTTACTAAATCATAATCGTCTACAGCATCAAGAGCTTTTACAATTCTACCCCTCACATAAATATATGTTGGTGTTATGTTAAGTCCACTTAATTTGTTTTTGACAACTTTCATATTAACCTCAATGTGCTCAACTCGTTCGTCTAATTCTGTTAAATCATTATCTGTAATATCTGTTATAATATTCTTTAAATATGTGTTTAATTGCTCCAATTCTTTAATTTTCTTATCTATTTGATTAGTAGGGGCCCCATATTTTTTAAGTTCTTCAATTTGTTTATTAAGTTTAACAATATCTAATTGTGTTAATTTTTTCAATAAATAAATTTTATTAATAAAGGTAGTTTGATTGTTTTCTAGATTATTTATTCTATTTGTTAGTTCCTTTAAATCATCAATAGTTATTTCAATGATAGCTTCTTCTAATTCTCGGTTTAATTTATTCAAATCTTCTGTTTTTAATTTGAGCTCTTTAATTTTTTTGTTGATGTCATCTTGAGATGCTCCTTTTAGTTTTAGTTTTTCAATCTCTTGTTTGAGGTCTTCAAGTTCTTGATTTATAGAAACAATATTTGGGTTTTTACTTATTCTTCGGTTTTGTTTTCTCGTTACTATATTAATCTGATCGCTTAAACTGCTAATTTGACTCTTAACATTATTTATTTCAGTTAATGGTAAACCATGTTGTTTTAGTTGATCTATTTCCACCTTAATATTTGAAAGATCTATATTAGAGTTCGAGTTAATTGGAAATCCATAAACATCCATTTATAAATAAAAAATTTTGTATTAAATGATACTAAAGTTAAAAGGTAACAACTCTATACTAGCTTATCATTTTGAGACACATTTTCCAACAAATGGTCTTAAAGTTGGTCTATTGGATTTCTATTCAACGAATCTGATTAATAATGTTACAAATAAAAATAATTAAATTTATTATAATGGAACTTATTTAGCTATTCCAGAAGAACAATATAATTACACTTCGCTTAGAACATATTTAAATAAATATGGATTTGATTTGAGTCAAAATGGGAATAAAATAGAAATTAATTCTCCTTATAAAATACTTGAATTCTCTGATAGTTTATCAAATTTATTAAATAGTTCGAAGAAGTTTATTCCTGTTGAAACAATCAATACTCACTGTAATTTGGCTAATGGAATGTTAGTAGAAGGTGGTAAGGTTATTCATAGAGAAACCGACATTATCTCTTGTTTTAAACTGAATTCTAATTTTAACAATTTGATAATTTATGAACCTACCCCTGTATATTATCCAATTCAGTATAATAATATTTACAAAATAGAACTCAGAATATATGATTTTAATGGTGCTGATATTATTGTAATCTTAGAGTTAAAATAGTTTATTAAATTTTTTTCTTTATAAATGAGTTGTCAAAAGGTGTGGGATGTGATCTCTATGTCTCCTGTTATAACTGAGGAGTTTATAATTTTCTTCCAACAAGAAGTAAATTGGGATTTAATTTGTCGTGTCAGTGAACGTTTTATGAGAACTTATTTAAATCGAGTTAACTGGAGTGTTGTTTCTAAATATCAAGTTTTGAGTGAAAATTTTATTGATGAATTTAAGGATGAAACTTTTTTTTTTTAAATTTATTTCTTTGAAGACTTTTTATCATTAACTTGATATTCTTGGGATTCCGTGTTTCATTATAATATATATATTGAAATGTAGGTTTATAAAAACAAATTTTTAAGATCTGCTAAAAAATCGTCATTAACATATTGATACAATTCAACATTGTCTTTATCCAAATAATTTTTATGTATCCTCATGAACTCCAAGGATAAATTTTGATACTTGCATATATATTCCCAATCTAAGTTTAAGTATTTAGACTACACCCTGTATAGTGATAAATTTGACAAGATCAAAAGTAACTAAATGTAGTGAGACAATGTTACCACACGAAAATTATAATTTTTAAAATGTAAATTTGTAAAAAAATTACAACACGGATTTCAAAATAACCTATTAATTAATGAACGATAAATTATCATCGAAATTATGAAATAAGCAGTTTAAATAAACTCACCTTTAAAAATCCAATAATCTAATTTTAAAGATGTAACTAAACTGTCAAAATTTTGATTGGCTAATTATTTTTTCATCCAACTTGATTCAAAAATCCAAATCAGAATTTTGTTGATGAAACAAAAGAGAGTGCTAGAAAAGTAACGAAAAAGGAAGGACACAAAAATTTTTTTCCTTCGAATTTCCTCTCCAAACTCCTTTTTCCTAAAAATAAAGAGACAGAAATATTAAATCTTCAATGTTTATGTATAAACGATTAATTAGTGTATAAATGTCAAAGGTAATATTAAATTTAACTTACCCACGCAATATTATGTAAAACTGCCCGAAGAAGAGTTCCAGGAAGTATGCATTGGCATACAAGACGCAAGGCCTCCATTTCCCCCAGGTACTTGTAACATCCTTCTGTTATGGACGCTGAAAAGAAATAAGTTTAACACTAGGACATCTTATATTTCACAGTGCTATACAGGTATTTCAATTAAAAACTATCATTAGTGACCAATTAAAAGAAAGTACTTACCAAATTGAGTATTTGAGTAATCGTAAAGACGATGAATCTTTCTATTTTAGTATAAAATAACATCAGAATGTTTTTTTTTGACTATCTGATTTGATTAGGTTAGAATTCCATATAAGCCCCATCTTTTGCCCGACTAGAGAAATTACCATATAGCCGGCCAAAAGAGATCTACTTACGTATTTAAAAGCGCCGTACGGTGGGTAGAATATTAAGTTCGATAGGTAACTGTATTTTTATAATATAATGCGCCATTTTCGATCCAAGAATCGATCGTTAAATGACGAATTATTTTATTATTTTTGTTTCTATGTTAATTTTTACATTTATGTAACAATATTCTGTTTCTTTTTTCCCACATTAGTTACAAAGAATTTTTGAACTCGCACTAAACCCTGATATCAATTATTTTAAATAAAACTACAAGTTATACACAGAGTCTCAAACTTTTACTTATTTTTATTTCTATACAAGAGCTGACAATATACGAGGTTCAGAGGTAAGTGTCTTAAATACATGGATGAAAATTTTTAAACTAATTAGTTAAAAGAATTGAGTCATATCGTTTCATTTATTGCATTAGACAACATTTTAGCCGGAGCATTAAGTATTTGTATGGGGAATGATGATTCGTGATTTAAATTATTTAAAGCTCATTACAATTATATAACGTCACAACGTAGTGCTATATATTTCACACAAAAACATCCCCATAACAATATATATATATATATATATATATATATATATATATATATATATATATATATATATATATATATATATATATATATATATATATATTGTAATGTTATAGTTTGTTTTTAATAACACTACATTTTAAAAAATTTACTTTATTATTATTTGCCTTGGCTAGCCATTATGTTACATCATTAGAGCGGATTGTCTTGCTCTCAGGGGTGGTTCATGTAAGTTAACCAATAATTTAAAAATTAAATTTAGAAATATTTAATTTTGCTCACTATTAAAAAGAAAAATAGGACCTTCCTGTATAATTAAGTAAACAAATTGACAATTTTTTTTTTTAAATCAAATCTTTCAAATATATTTTTATTTGTCAAACACAATGTAACATTAGAAACAGTTTCAAAATTGCTTACCTATATCTACTAATTTATAATAACTACTATCCTTTCATACCTCACATTCACACCTTATGAGAAAAAAAGATAATCTAAAATTAAATACAGAAAAATATCGTAATAGTATTTACAGTTCTATACTTTTCAAATTTAAAGTAATTAATCTATACAAATTTCGAAATTATTTTGCTACTTTGTTCTGTAACAGTTCAAGCAGTTATTCCGTTTTCACAAATATTAAAAAATACTCACAGTCGGAAAACTTCAGTCCAATGAGTATGCTAATATTTGCATACTGAAAATCGATGCTCTGCTACTGTTGCCACAAGGTACTGAACCACATTTCTGTTTAGCTCCGCACAAATTTATAAAATGAGACCTATACTCATGATTGGTACTACCGTATACAAAATCCTATGAAATTTGCTTACTTAATATAATATTTTAGAGAATAAATTAAATCTGACTGACTCAAATTTGAATCTGACACCAAATCGAAAATTTCTAATTAATTTTTCATTCATCTTTGACATTTCTTTTTAACTAAAACTTGTTATATAGGGTGTTATTTTACTATTTACTCATATCTTTGGCAAATTAACAGATTTTTCACATATTAATATTATAATGATT